GCTACGGCTATGCGCTAATACCGATGTGTTGTAGGACATGAACTACCAAGGTTCTACTTGTGTTTGTCGGGTACCCAAGGCTCAGGTCAAAGAAGGAACGGTGGTAGAATGTGTACATTGTGGTACGTTCGCTCAAGTGGCTTGGCCGTGTGAGACGGGCTGACATGAATCTTTAGGCTGTCGTGGCTGTAGTTCCGACTCGTGAGCTCGATACCGCACATATCTCATCGCTTTTGCTCGATAAATCAGCTATTTTGCGTTCCGTACAAGTGTAATATATAAATTATGACAAACCTCTTTGGTGTGTCACCTCCATGCTAAATGAGGGTTGACCATGGCTAAGGATTTGCCAAGCTTTGGCCCCACGCCAAGTGTACCTGTATTCGCCCGATTTGGGTCATGTGTAGGTGCACTTCGACTGTGGAAAACCAGATAGGCGTCCTCCTGCAGCCCTTCCACAAGCGAAATGGGCGGGGGGTTGCCCTTCATAATAGAACTCCGCAGTCATCGAGCACTGGCGTCGATCTTAGCGACCGGCTTGTGTTTCCGTACGCCCAGACTCGGACCTTTCATGATGTATAGGGGCTGCACCAACTGGGACTTCTTGCGCTGAAGGCTGGCTCCACCTAAAATGGGTTAACGGAGATCAAACTCGGTGGCCTTTACGCGCCGGGTCGGTCGAGTATAATAAGCTGCCACCCCCACACTTCACTCTCCCCCTCAACCTCGACATGGGCGGCTTTTCAGACACCGTTATCGGCCTTGGCCAAGGCCTCGTCAAGCGAGCCGCTCGTGAACAGGTATGTTCCGTACCCGCTCCTAAGCGGTCTAGTACTTACCGGCCGCTCCCAAGGGTGGCATTCTGTCCGGAGAAAACCCAGCGCATTTCGACGCTGCCAACCCGATTAGGATATGGATTATCCAACTCAGTGAGCGTTGTCTAGCAGTTTGCCACCGTATTCCTTGCTAAATCGCTGTTTCAGTCATCATTATCTTCATGACCCAGTTCCTGGCCATGATTCTGGGCAAGATCAAGCAACCACGGGTCATCGCCGAGGTTATTGGCGGCGTTATTCTTGGGCCAACCGTCATGGGTCGCATTCCGAGTGAGTACGGCTTGGAATGCCCGAGCTCACAGCATGATGCTCACAAACTGTAGACTTTTCCAAGTCAATCTTTCCCCCCGAGTCGCTGCCGTACCTAAGTTTGGTGGCAACAATCGGCTTGGTGCTCTTCATGTTCGTTATCGGTGAGTTTATTTTTGATAATTGAGGGTCCCATCCCCTGTTCTAACGTACCGGCCGCAAGCTTTGGAACTTGATGTGTCCGTGGTCAAGAAAAACGCCAAGGCGGCCCTTGCTATTTCGGTGGCGGGGATGGTCCTTCCGTTCGGCGTGGGTGTTGGAGTGGCCGTTCCGATCTATAATGAATTTATCGACCCCGCGAAAGCGTCATTTGGACACTTTTTGCTGTTTGTCGGTGTCGCCATCTCCATTACTGCATTCCCGGTGCTCTGTCGAATTCTCACCGAGCTGCGCCTCCTGGGTAAGTCAATTCCCCCTCGCACGATTCTAGCTTCTAATCTTCTATCAGACACCGACGTGGGAGTGACTGTCTTGGCTGCCGGTGTGGGAAACGATGTCGTTGGTGAGTTAGCACCTGGCCGATTCATCTTTCATGCCTAACGCATATCATAGGCTGGATTCTGCTCGCTTTGACTGTTGCACTCGTTAATGCAAGCACCGGCTTGACTGCGCTCTGGATTCTCCTTGTCTCTGTCGGTTGGACCGTCTTCCTCTTGTTCCCTGTCAAATGGGGTTTCAGATGGCTCGCACGCCGTACCGGGTGTCTTGAAAGCGGACAACCCAACCCTCTCATGATGACCGTCACGCTATTACTTGTCTTTACGAGCGCCTTCTTCACTGACGTGATCGGAGTACATGCCATTTTTGGAGGCTTCATCGCTGGTCTGGTTATTCCCCGCGATAATGGATTCGCTATCTCGCTACTCGAGAAGATTGAAGATCTGGTCTCAATCCTCTTCCTCCCTCTGGTATGTGTAATGCTTTGCAATCGGTCTTCACGTACTAATCTGAGCTCGGTTTTTAGTACTTTACGCTTTCTGGTCTCAAGACTAACCTTGGTCTTTTGGACAATGGCATTACTTGGGGATATACCATCTTGATCATCGTAGTCGCGTTCCTCGGCAAGTTCATTGGATGCGCTTCAGTGGCCAAACTCGTAGGATACAACACTCGCGAGAGTGGAGCGATTGGAATGTTGATGAGTTGCAAGGGGTACGTTTCTTCGTCTTGGGATAGATGCTGTTTATTGATCACACACTGCTCATAGTCTGGTCGAGTTGATCGTGCTAAACATTGGATTATCGGCTGGAATTCTAGACACAAGGGTGTTCTCTATGTTCGTCGTGATGGCTATCATCCTGACGTTCGTTACCTCGCCTTTCACTATTCTGTAAGTCCTAACCGTGCTACTCTGCGCAGCCAAGATCTGACATATTGGTAAATCTAGGATTTATCCCGAGCGTGTTCGTCGACACCTTAAGCCTGACGGCCATGCAGTTGACGAAGGCAAGAAACGTCGTCGTGCGCCCGCGACAGATTCGGCTGGTCTTATCTCTCTGATGACCAACTTTACGGTCGTACTCAACAAGGTCGAGCATTTGCCGGCTGTCATGACTCTTACGCAGTTCCTACAACCACCTCTCCCCAG